TATCTTAGTCAATTCTTACTCAAATTTGATTAATAAAGTATCTATCTAAGGGGATTTTAAACGTATGAATTTAGGTACTAATAGTACACATTTATGTTAAGGATTGAGTGAGATATTGTATTTTCTTTGTGTTTTTCAACTTTGTGACAAAAAATCATATGATCTTACTGTTCTAAGGAATTATGCAAGCAGCAGTAAAGCATGAAACTGTGCATCTTGTCTCCTGGGTGTCCGACATTACACAATCGATTGATGTGTGGCACCAAAGGCTTGGTCACATCAATGTAAAGCAAGTCCTTGAGTTGAGTGTAAAGAACATTGTACAAGGTGTAAAAGTGATGAGCAAAGATCTGCAAAAACCTTGCATCAGTTGTATAACAGGCAAGATGGTTGCTACACACACTGGTTCAAAGGAGTGGAGTGCAAAGTTGCTGGGCAACATCATTCATTCAGACCTAGAGTTCATGGGAGCTTCTTTGTTCACTGGTGCAACAATTTCCTTGAAGTTTATTGACAAACATTCTAATTATGTATGGAACTTTGTACTTTGTAATAAGGACAGAGGAACTGTCCTACATCATTGGAAGAAGCTGGTGGTGCTCTTCTTAACCCAATTCAATGTGTGTGTAAAAGCCCTCCATACAGATAATAGAACCAAATATGTTAATAACAACATAAAGGTGTTTAATGAATCACAAGGAATCACACACTGCCTTACAGTTTCATACTGTCATGAAATGAATGGTTGTGCTGAAAGAATGAATTGTACTGGGTCAGATGCTGTGAGATTGATGTTGCATGGGGCAGTATTAACTACTGCCTATTAGGCTGAAGCATACAAGACCTTTATATACTTGCATAATTGGGCTGGAGTGTTAGTAGTGGACAGGCAGACCCTGTATGAAGTCCTTACTAGGAAGAAACTGAACTTAGCACATGTACAAAAGTTCAGGTGCATTACATATATGTAGGTACCTCCTGAGTTAAGGACAAAACTACAACCAAAGGTGTTGAAATATTGCTTAGTCAGATACAGAGAGGATGCTACATACTGATTGATTCATCTAGTAACCCACAAAATAGAATATTCTCATAATGTTGTATTCAATGAACAGGACCAGAATTACAAGGTGGAACACAAGCCAATAACATTAACAGACAGGAAGGATGTCTAGAATCTTGTCCCAAGACACTCTGAGCACATCCACAAAAAGTTAGAGAAAAGTGTAGAGGCAGTACACGTTTGCAGCATTATTACTATTCCAAGATCTGCTTATGAAGCTCTCAGATCTGAGGATAGGAAAGAGTGGCACATGGTAATAAGATACAAAATCAATAAACTCACTGAAATGAAATGCTAGGACATTATTGAGTGTAGAGACACTAGCAACCTCATTAAAGGGATGTGGGTGTTTACTATAAAGCAAGAAGCAGACAGACGTTATGAATATCATGCAAGGTGGGTAGTAAGAGGTGACTCACAGCAATATAGTATTAACTTTGACAAAATGTTTGCTACAGGTGGAGACTTTGTATCAGCAAAAATTATCATTGCTCTATCTCTTCATGAAAACAGACTGCTCACAACTGTAGATATTTTGTCAGCATATCTACACTCTCTACTAGAGGAGACCAACCTGGTTGTAGAATATCTGACAGGCTTTACTGTTGATGGGTTTGATGATCCAGTATGCTTGCTGAAAAAGGTGTTGTACAGACTGAAGCAAGGAGTATGTGTGTGGGCAGAGCACTTTGGTGGAAGGTTGAAGGACTTGGGGTACTGGAGGTGTATTTTGGCTCCATCAGTGTATGTCTGTTTGGACAAAGACAGAGAGACTATACTTGCAACCCATATAGATGACTGTACAGTAGCATACACTTCATTCACTAAGAGACCCAATACAGAATCTATGCACTTTAAATCAGATATCATACACTACTTCAAGTATAAAGAAAAGGATGTACAAACTAAGGCAAACATCCTTGGAATGACTGTCTACTGTGACAATACAGTAGGAACAATAAAGATATTAGTTCCTCAAAAGATTGACCAGTTGCTTGAATCTCACAGTATGCAGGACTCTAACCCAGTCTCTACTCTAATGTGTAAGAATATCTGGACCCTCCTTGATGAGGATAAATCCAAAGCTCCAGAAGTACCCCCTTGGCCTTATTCTTCACTGATTGGGGAGCTCCTTTGGATTTTGACAGTAGTTTGCATTGACATTTTGTTTGCAGTCAGTATACTATTACAGTTCCTCCAAAAGCCAAAAGAGGTTCATTGGAATGCTGCTAAGCACATTCTCTGTTATCTCAAAGGAATAAGGGAGCTGGGTATTGTCTACAAATTAGATGGAAATCAGAAACTGATAGGGTATTGCAATTCTGATTATGCTAGAGATTGCTCTGATCACAAATCTATAATAGGCTTTGTCTTTGTTGTGAATGGAGGACCAGTTGGTTGGAGATCAAAAAAGCAGACTGTGGTGGCAAAGTCGACTACTGAGGTAGAGTATATTTCTGTCTCAGCATGTACCCTAGAAGCCATCTGGTTACAACACTTCTTTGAAGAGATAGGCCAAGGATTCTGCAATCAGCCCCTAACCATCTATATGGACAACCAGGCTACAATAGAACTTACCAAAGATCTGGTCTACTTATCCAAGATGAAGCATATTGATATTCAAGCACATCATATTCAGTATGAAGTGTACACCAAGCATATCTCTGTCCATCATATACCTGGTACCGAAAATCTGTCAGATTTCCTCACAAAACCCCTGGATCCACTTGCACATAAACGTTGTGTATCTATGCTGGGAATGGCTTAACTCTGTCGTCTTACAATTTCTCTTCTTCTACTCAAACTTTCCTTTTAATGCATTACTGCTTACAGCTTTGATCACAAAACTCGTTCAGAATAGTTACACAACTCCCTTACGTGTCACATTATTCACTGAAGTTTTGCTCTATTCTTTTCTCTTCACTTTTCTCTCATTTTTGTTGCCTACCAAATGCCTCAATGAGGAGGACTAAGGTAATGGTCTTAAATTCATCATCTCCTGATTTGGTAGTTACACATATAGCCTTCGTCTCGCGTTCTTTCCACCTCAGTCCAATACTATGTTGAACTGAGGTGGGTATTCTTTTATATTCTCTTCTCTGCAATATCTCATATCCTGTAGTTTTACCTTATTCCATAGGTAACTAATAATGAGTCCAATACTACATTGAACTGAGTTTTACCTTATTCCATACTCCTAGTACAACAAGAAGTTATATTTCTAGCTTGAGTCATGACTGTACAGACTAAATCTGAAGATTAATGCTTGTGCTCACAGTTTCTAACAGGTCTTAGGCTTGAGCTCTTCTGGATTTTCTCCTATTTTGTTGAATCTAGCTTTGATTGTAGTAGGTCTTTTGTGTATTATTGGTCCATATTCTCTAAATCCTACAAATACAATTCACTTTCAAGAATGTACTAAAGGGAATTGTACATGTATAAATGTTGGCTGCAATATAAACAGCTGAAGCTCTGCACATTGACTCTACTATTTAACTGATTATATCAGCAGGTTTGATGGATCGTGACCTCGACACGTAACTGTTCAATGGACGCCCGATCACTTGCAAGATCGTCTTGCAACCCTTACTTTATCCGAAAGCATGTCAGTTGCAACACTCATATTTAAACTCCCCCTTGAGATTAGAATACACATCCTCAACTATGCTACAAGGAGCTCCAAATGGGCTCTTCACATGTTCTTCCCTCCGGAGAATGATTTTAAATACGTTGAGGGATTTGCAAATGCCTTGCCTATCTTTTGTCGTTGGGTAGAAGAGGCGCAAACATTATTATTACAACTAAGTCTTGCAGTGGACGGTGTAAAGGGTATCTTGGAGTCTAAAATCCCAGCTAAACATATTCGGTGCGTTTTCTTGTGAAAGTTAAGTTGTTACTCCCAATAAGTTATTCATCAATACAATGGCATTCTCCTTTACCACTCTGCTAGGCATTTGAGGATTCAGTGCAATAGAACAGGCACACCAACCGAACTTGTACGCTTTAAGAACCTCGAATCATTATCCATTACCCCAGGCCAATGCGAGACCGCATTACATACCATGTTCCGGTATCAGGCGACTTCGATGGCACAAAGCCTAAGAAGACTTGACTTTGCATGGAGTAATATCAGGTTCCTGATGTCATACCTCTACGTCTTTCCGAACCTTGTCGAAGTGCGCCTTGCGGTGTCCCAGCCAACAATCAGGACAACAGAAATTTTGGATACAAAACACTTCATAATGGCAAGCCTACTAGATTTCAATAACCAGGTTGGTATAACATTCGCCTTACAAGTACCCCAGCTAATAATAGATTATGGAATATTTTGTGTGCGAAAGGAAAAGGCAGATTCGTTTATCCTTCGACTTACAAAAGCTTTTCAGGGATGTCAACTAACTCCTCTCTCTGCACATGATAGTCACACCCAAACAAGTGTACTATGAGGTGTGTAGGCGTCATAATGACGAGCACAAACACATGTCCTGTGACTACATCTATTGCAGCCTATGTGGGGCTGCAGAGCTGGACGAATCTGCAAGGGTGAAGGAGCGGTACATGACGATGAAACTTGCACAGAACTTGCCAGCTCTGAAGTGCGTTCGGTGGTCGGTCGCGTTTCGAAGTAGTGCATATTTTGATGAAGTGGGTCAGAGGGAGTATGTGATCTCTAGATGGGAAGATGGAACACTCTCTATTGGTGGAGGGAATATAATTGAAGAGTCATAGTTCAGTAAGAAATGTCCCACTTTTTCTAATTCCTATTGCTAACGTACAAGGATTACTAAAAATTATTTATACAGATCAGGAACATAAACACTTCCCCCCTTTCTCTGTAACAAAGCTTTGTTTACACATGGTGCTTCCATAGTTTCAGAGTGTATTCTTTAAAACTCATAAAACTACACTTCTTTTCAAATGTGTACTTAAGGAGAACTTTTGTAAAGTGTACATATGTACAAATGTTTGATTGTGTTTAGTTTTGTGTACAACATGCATTGCTGAACAGCTGATAAACGATAGATGCACAATTTACGAAATAGCAAAGAGATAACGTTGATGAGCAGGTACGACATGCATGATGTATGATGGACTCATGAGTAGTACACTGGATACTTGAGTACTGGTGGACTCCCGTTCGGGTTATCAAGCTCTGCAACAACCCTAGGAAACATTCACGTTAGATTCGCAGAATGTAACGAGGAACAACAGCAGAGTGCATACCTGAATAGCTGCATGTCGACCTAAACAACCAATAAATCATATCAGTAAACTTAGACTCATTCAACTCAGGACAAACAAACAAAACAAAGACGAAATGGCACTAAAAAAAATTATGCGAAAAGTCCTGCTTACCGGCGCTTTGAACACATAAAAGAAATGCGTCGGGTTATGCGCGTTCAGATTCTCACACACGTCACACAAGTCTTTCGGGCAATATACGCAGCGGAACCATTCGCCTGAGATGCGGTCCATGCAGTGGTCGCAAAGTGCAGCAGTATGGTGTAAGGACGATAAGTAAGCTGTAAGCAATATCTAAATGAGTGAATGCAGAAGAGGGAAGAGGATGCCTGTAGGTGATGATGGACCAACCCTTTGGGTGACTTGAGTTTAGTGTCTCGCCTGGTCGTGGACCTGCAGGTTGTTTGTAACTGTATGAAGCATTTAGTATGAGAAAAGGAATATAGTAGAAAAATGTATTAGAACATACAGGAGAGGAACGACGGGGAACTGCGACTCGATCGGTCGATCAACAGGACGGGGAAGCTTGAAGAAAATATGCATCGGGTCATGTAATAAATATGACCTCGGCTCGCACTTCTCGCACTAACAAAAAATAGAATCATTCCAATCAGTAGGCAACTTCACACTGCGGGACACTACCACGTACTAGACTATATGCAGTCCCCTTCGTCGAAGGACATGCCGCACATTGATACCTCACTCCAACAATACTCTGATTACACCCTTTACACAAAATATGATGTTCCATCGATTTCGGCTCGCCATTACGTGATAATCCTCTTCCGTGTTTCGTGCTACCACCGCCACCGATGACAGTGACCGCGTCAGCGTCGTGTATCGAGTCGGCACGGGACCGTCCACTGGGTGTACGACGAACGTTCGGAGCATCTCGGCCTTGCCAGAGTTGTCGTGCACGACGGCTTGCGGTTTGTACTTTCGTCGAGTTGAGAGGGATGGGGATCTATTCAGGCAGATTAAAATGTATCGTCAGGTAAGTTATTGGCAAAGTCGAAAAGAAAGCGAGGAGGGTCAGACCTTTATCATGATATGTGAAGAATTGTGTCCGCCGTCGTCTGCGTCTAAATTCCCTGGTAGGCCTGCTGCTTCACAGTTTGAACAGATGTCGACTGATTCGCATATCGCGCAGTGGAAACGAGCGCCAACGATGTCCATGAGACAGCTATATAAGCATATAATCAGCGAAAAGAAGTCGATAGGATGAATATAAGAAACGTACTGCGTGCATTTTACGTCCGGGTGGACGAGTGCTACAAAGGGAGACGTTGGAAATTCAAATAAATTCAAATAAATGAACAGAAATGCATAAATCTCACATTCATCTTCATCATTCAAAGAATCCTTAAGCTCCAAATCCGGTTCACTCCTCGTCCTCAAAGCCGGCGGTCGCTCCGGAACGTCCAAAAACGCATGACTCGGATGAATCTCATGCACTTGACTATAACACGCTCGACACAGCACGAAATTCGTACACGAAGCACACTTATACCTCTGTCCACTCAATTGTGTATTACAAATCGTACATTCACCCGTATCATCTTGTTCGACGTCTTTCCACCCTGAGTCGATGCTACCGCTCCAGAGTTTTTCGAGATAGGCGTGGCGGAAGTGGCCTTTGTGCTTGGGAGCAGCGCGCCGGAGTTGGCTGAGTGTGCGTTGGGCGTCTTCGGGTGAGGATGGCTCGTCAGGGGCTCCGGAACTTTCTGCAAGAGCGTGGAAGACGCCTGCAGTTTCGATACACCCCGCGCATAACTCAAACCCGCCGTCTCCTGCCAACGTTGTCGTTGATGAGTTGGATTCCGTGTGCGATCCTGTGTGCGATCCGGAAGACGAAAGGAATGGATTCTTGTTTCCTTGAGGGACGGTTGGTAATGGACGAGGAGGGAGAGGTTTGTTCGGCGCACCGTTCGTGCGATGATTTGGTGGAGGATACGAGAAAGGGTCTGCAAAGGGATCGGTTGAAGATAAGTCACGTCCTTTCCCCTTCCCATTTACATTCATGCCAACATTTCCCAAAACACGTGGCGTCTTCTCTCCACATGTAGAGCATACGTAGCGGAATGAATCAAGCAAGATACCACAAGCAGAACAATCCGTACACGCAGGTGGCGGCTGTGGGCTCTGACTATCGCGTATGAACTGGAGGAGTTCAGGTGGGACTTCATCGTCTGCAATGGATACCGAAGAACGCGGGAGCGGATCAGAACTCGACGAGGACATGGAAGGTCTACTCGAAGAGGAGGACGCTGCGGACGACGCTGACAGGTAAGAAGGTTGTTTAGATGCCGGGGGTTGCTGCTGCGTTTGTGACTGCGTGAGGGTCTGCTGCGAGGCCAGCCAACGCATTTTCGGATTAGAATCTGACAAACGATGATTATTATCGCTTTCTGAGATGCTGGCGTCATCTTGTGCTGCGGAGGCGGCAGAGGAAGAGCTACTCGATCTATACGTATAATAGTATTTCCCATTATCCTGCTGCAGCGCGAGGTCCCCGTCGAACGGACTATGCGCGTCGAAGTCGTCCTCAAGTACAAGCAAAGAGCCGTCCGATACGGACTCCGAAGCGAGGATACCGTTAAGATTGTTGCGCGACTTTTGATCCCGCAGCCATTGCGTATTCCGCTCGACGGAATCGGATGAGTTGGACAGTTTTAAGCGCTCGAAGACTGCGGAGGGGTCAGCGGGATACCGCTCGTCGAACGCACTTGCTTCCGATTCCGAGTTGAAGGCGGAAACGGATTGGAAGTCGTGCACTGTTGAGCTGCTGTCTCCTCCACCGCTGCTCTTGATGACGGTCTGTGTCATGGTACGGCTGGCGAGCTTACCCGTGTCTCTGGAACTGACGGTGACACTGTCGTCCTCCGGTTCGATTTGAGATGCATCCGAGAAGGAAAGAGACAGTGAAGAGCCACTCCCGTTACGATTCCGGTATTCATCCAAGCTGACGAGCGACGAGGTGTCTGAGAGGCTTGGTCCATCGTAATCAACGGTGACGGATACGCGGAGTGTAATGCGCCTGCTCCCGAAGCTCCGCCCGGAGAGAATGGACGCAGCAGAGGAGACCGGGAGATCGTCTACGCCAGCTTGGAAGTATTGAATGGCTTCGGTCAAGTCAGACTCAGAGGTTATGTCTGTGACTTCGCCATCGTCGTCCTTGTATGCGATAGAGAACGAGAAGGCTTGGAGCGAGAACGATTGTTCTACCTGTAGCAATTATCCTTAATCAGCCTTCTACCATAATGTAACTCAGTACAAATATGAGACGAGCCTTTGTGCGCAGCAGGTCGTAGGAGCAGTTGCGGGCCGAGGAGAAAGTAATGCGCTTGTTGTATCTGTCGAATGTAGCTTTTACGATGAGTGGCCTGTCTGGCCGAGTAGACATGGTCGAGCCCACGTCTGAGAAGGACATCGTGACTGCTAGGCTGGTCGCAGTAATGTAATCATGAGTTGTTTGAAATCCGCAGTCAGGTCTGTGTTATAGTCTACTTGTCGGCGTCCAGTGTGAGATCGACGTTTAGGTACGCCGCGCCGCGACCGCAGGTCTCATTATTTTATTATTTTATTATAACTATCACTTGCTTCTGACCACCATCTCACACGCATCTAGCGACAGTCTCTAGCTACACTTTACTTGCAGAGCTTGACACGAACCATTTCGTGGCCGCAAAGACATTAAATTTACCGGAATAAATGCCGACTTGATTATATTCTGTTTTATTGGCATCCCTGACAGGAATCAATTGTTTTGATGTTTGACTGGCTCAAATGAGGGTTAATCTCAATTCTTCTATAGGCATCACCAAGATATAGGCAGTGGTATGCACATTCTTCGTCATTTATTCGGTACTGCTTCTGTGCTTCATGCCCTAATGGAACCCAGCTCCACGACGCAGAAGATTGTAGTACATAATCGAATAACCCACGACAAACGTGTTTTGGTCAGATGCACAATGACGTCCAGAACCGTTCTCTCTTCTTCTTCAAACGATTGTATCCGTGTTCTCTTCCAAGGCCTTCTGCAAGCTACTGTCTTCTGTCTGCGGACCGTCTAACCCGCAAAGAAGCACCTTGAGCGCAATAAAATGGGTCAGCTCGATCAAGGCGTGCACTTGGTCTTCAGTGTCTCTGCTAGGATGAAGAATATTGTCTCTTGCATATTACTAGCGCTCCCATGTCTTTTGGCAAACGTTGTCCAAGCTCAGTTTGAATGGAAAGCATCTAATGACTCAGGCTATTTCCAACCCAACTCTACTGGACTCAAGCTTCAGAATGGTTTTGAGCGCGTATTTATTCAAGTGAGCGCACTACTCCTGACTGGACGGAATGAATTTGAATGATTTCATGGGTCTTCTAGCCATATGGTGAAAATGGAATACGAGTTCGTGCTAGCATCATGCGCGATCCGACGGGTAGCGAACCCTCCGCTCTTCTCGATCCACCCGTAGAGGGACCTGGCGGCTCAGCTGGCCTTTCGTTCGATACGCTCGTCCCATTCCACGGCAATGCGTCTCTGCGGAACGGAAACATACTAGCCTCCCTTTCAGAAGGCGTACTCTCTTTCTACCGCATCTCCACATCACCAACAAACAACTCCGAAGTCCTCACTCTTCTCACGCAAGAATATACCGACGACAAGACTCTCACTGCACGCTTCTACAGACAGGACTTCCGGGCGAATAGTTTCGCGGCTGAATTCTCGTTCTCTTCTGACCCGGATGAGATGTTCTTCGGTGCAGGACAACAGGCATGTTGTAAGGATAATACGGTGAATAAGAAGGGCCAGGTCGTGGATCTTTTGAATTTTAATTCGCAAGTGACACTGCCGGTCTATATGTCGAACAAGGTAGTTCTTTATCCATATTCACGGAAATGTAAGATTTGAGATGCATATAGGGTTATCTTCAATTTTTCAACATGCCGAGTCAAGGACGCATTGGTAAGCGAGTTTCCATCCTGTCTTTTCTGAACATTGGTTTTCTAATGACACAACTAAATTAAAATCAGAGTTCACTCCGTATCGCACCCGCTACTTCGCCGACCAAGCTACAGTCGTCGATTACTATATGTCTGTATTTCTCTCATCCTAAGTAGTATTTCGCGCTCATATTCGCGTTAAGTACGACAGCAGAACCTGGTGATTACGATGCCTTGCAAAAACAATATACATCGGTTACAGGTGAAACCTAGTATTTATGGTTTCCTGCTAAACCGACTGCTCATGAGGATGATGTAGGACGCCAACCGACCCCACCCGACTTTATCTTAGGATATCAGCAATCAAAGCTACGCTACTGGAACGAGACTCAGGTACTTGATGTGGCGCAGATGTTCCATGATGAACAAGTTAACGTATCTCTTATCGTTGTTGGTATGTACGATCCTTGTCTTTGCTAAAATCAAAGCATCTAAATAACTGGACGTTGTCCAGATTTCTTTGCATGGAAATTCCAAGGCGACTGGTACGATTTCCCCTTTCCACATCATCCCTTCATCATACACTTAACCTCTCCTTACAGGTCCTTCGACCCAGAGTTCTTCCCTGACCCAGCAGGAATGGCAGCGAAAGTGAAAGAGTTGACAGGAGCAGAGATGATGGTCTCTCTCTGGCCAAGTGTCGAAGATCTCTCCGTGAACTACATTGAGATGCAGCAGGAGGGATTGTTAGCTACTACTCGCGATGGGACGGGGATTACGGATTCGTTTGCGGGTGTGTATACCCGTTTGATCGATTCTACGAACCCTGCTGCTAGGGAGTTTTTGTGTGAGTTCTTCTTCGTAATTTTAAATCATGGTCCACGTTTTGCCGCGGTGTGTTGAAGATGAGATGGATAGGGAAGCGGCTGAATGATAGTTATTTCTCGAATGGGATACATAATTTTTGGATTGACCAAGCGGACGGTGCGTTGCATTGTACTTTTTTTTTCGCCAATTGAATCTCATTATTATTTCAGGCGGTAGTTTAGGCGAGCCCTTTGTCAACAGTAAGTCTGAGAATCAATATCGCAAACTACTTCCTTTCTCACATAGCGTTCAAAGATGGACAGGATATGATCAACTCCCTTCCCTACGCTCGCACCTTCACACAGTACTTCCTTGGTACACAGGAAGGTTCAGGCAAGATGTACCCCTGGCTACACCAACAAGCCATTGATGAAGGTTTCTCCAACCTCACGACCTCGTACGATGTCGGCAGAGCCACCTCATGCGAATTCATGTCCCTCACGAGGAGTACCTTCGCTGGGGGACAGCGATTCTGCAGTTATATGTGGAGTGGGGACACGATTTCGAGGTTTGATGTAATGTTACAGCAGGTAACGGCGGGTGTGTCCGCTGGTGCTTCGGGGATCTCCTCTTGGACGCTTGATATTGGTGGGTTCTCGGGATTAAATATCTCCACGGATTTCGTAGGTCCAGTTTCTTCCTTTCTTAAACATCTTCTGCTTTGAAATTGAATGAGCTGAGCGAGAATGACAGGGTAAAGAGCTTTTCGTCAAGTGGCTCAGTATGGGCGTATTCCTACCTTACGTGAGTTGATCTTACTTATACCGTCAATTAAAGCGCCACTGATGCGTCTCACTAGATGCGGGTACATGGGTGAGTGTGAACTTCGTAAAGGTATTGATCATTTTCGATTCAGTGAGCTGAACACTTGCACTTTGTAGTGATCGCGATTGCACCATTCCGCCAAACACAGTTCCATCGTTTGCGAACAACTGTCCGAATGAGGTACTCCCCACATTACTTCTTTCATTAACGAGTTTAGACATCTAACTGAGAGTACAGCCTTGGGCATACGGCGAAGAGAACTTCGAGATCATCAAAGGCGTTCGTCCCACTTTTCGTCTTCATCATTTCTTCGAACGCATATACTCACTTTTTTTTCCCTCCCCTCTTCCTCCCCTCGCAGTACATTTCATTACGTTACACTCTTATCCCCTACGTCAAGCGTCTCTTCCAAATGCTTCAATCCTCAGGGAAGACCATCGTCCGAGCACTGTATTATGACTTCTCGTCCGACGAGATGGTTATGAACGGTACGGCCTCAAACAACCCTGCGATTGTTCATCAGTATATGTTCGGTAGGTCGTATCATACATCGTTTGCTCTTTGTCTACCTGGAAGCCATTTATAGTTGACAAATGGGATGAAGGTCCGAGGCTATTGATCTCTCCGAACGGTGTACAGGGCGCAACTTCAAAAGACGTCTACCTACCCCGGCTTACTGACGATATGATCCGCCAAAATTTCACTTGGACACATTGGTACGTCCTTTTCTTGTCTCCCCGCCCCTCTCGACATTCTTTTCTTTTCTCCTGTTGTTCTGTCTTTGCTCTTGCTCAGACTTCGATCCGCTGATCCGTGTAAATCGAAATACAGGTGGACAGACAAGAGTTTTGGACAGGGTGGGCAGACGATCAATATCAGTGCTCCACTTGACCAGATCCCGGTATTTTACTTGGGCAGTAAGGAAGATATATTGGCAGGCAACATCTAGGTATTCCTCTGTACACGTGCTTGACCTTGGCGCTTGTGTGTTTATTTTGATGAAGTCAATTTTGGAGCTCGTGTCGTTGAGAGGAGTCTGTATTTACCTTATTTTGCAGAAAGACAACCAAGTGAAAGAAATATAGCTGTCCTACCTGAACGTGTTGACTGCATACATACAATACTCGTCAATATCTAGGCTGCAGAATGGTAACTGTTAATTTAAACACGGACAGGAAAGGCACGTCAAAGGAATATCAAAGCTCTCTCTTAAAGATATTAGGATATTTCGAAAGTGGATACATTTGGCTTCTGGGGAATCAAAGAATCAAGAGTCTTTCTCTATGCCAACAGTGTCCATATATTTTCTGACATTTTCTTCCCCAGTGCCGTCCCAACTTGTGCCTTCCATCACACAAGCCTTCCACGACAGAGAGGCATGCGTCGCCGCGAGGATCTCAGCAATCACATCGTCGTTGAGCACTAGTCTACGTGTGCCAGACGATCTGCCACTTGCACCCGCCGCTGTATGCTGCAGTTGCGGTGATTGCGGTGAAGAAGCGTCGTTGGTGTTGCTGTTGGATGGCGGAGGATCACGATTGAAAGAACCCGACTCATTGACTACGCCCTCCGACAAGATCCAGTCTTGCCATTCAGGGTCATCGGGCAGTTCTGGGTCAACAGGGCTGAAGGGATTGAAGCCTCGGACGCGCTCTTCGTGAATGATGAATAGGGAAGGGAAAGGCACATAGCGATCCCTGATGTCAAGCGCAATTGCCTTGCCATGGAACTGCTGGAGTTCGCGCTCTAACGAATGGTTGACAAACACGAACTTGCGACTCTGCTTCCGGTAAATACTTGGTTCAGACCAAAGTTAAATCCGATTTACCTCGGGTAAGAACCGTATAAAGAAATAGCATTCATCGAATACGCGATGATGCGTGTCACACATAGTCAGGCCGTTGCGTAGTTCATGTTTAGGATGGTTTTTGGCCCGCTCTAGAATCCAGTTGCAGTTCTTGAGTTTAGTCCACTGAACTACAAATTATCCTGGAGACTAGGACTTACATGCAGTTCTACTTACGAATCGCCTCTCCTTTCTACTAATTATATAGCATCTGTCGAGTGTAATGGGACAGCCACAGATGACGCAGCGGTTGTCTCCCAGGAATGTATCTCGTCTACCTATTCCGGCCTCGAAGTCGGTGGTCTCCGATACAGCCGACATATCACAATGTTCCCAGCCGGATTCGGCTGGGACTGTTTGAAGAGGAAGCGACGAGATCAAACGTACCATAATAGTTAACAATAAGATGTGTCACATTAGTGAGATTGCTGAGCTGAGTATCTGCTACATTGCTCGTTTTGGATATGCTGCGTAATGAAGATTAATATTATCTGAATCAGAAGCTCTGGCTTGACTGTAGCTTATTTGTTTTTGAAGTTTTCATAGCAGTTCCGAGAATTTATGAATTGAGTCAATTTGAGACATTGTGAGTACGTAGCGCCGCTCTACGCCTCTGCACATCGTTTATGATATATCTTTTCTTCATCTTCGTAGTATCTTCACAGAAGCTTTAGTATATCAATAAAGAATCTTGGACTATCTTAACTGTGTAACTTTACAGGTATATACAATCAAAATATCTACTACATGCATTACTAGAGGTAAAGAACTGGTTGTGTAGGTATAAAGATTGGCCAGCATTTCTTGTGTGGTATACATATTTTATACCATTTACAGCCAGAAAGACAAGTGAAAGAAAGGACAACTCCTATATTTGACTGTATTGACTACATACTGAACATACAATTATAGACATCAGGGCTACAAAAAGGTAACTATCGACCTTGAGCATGTTACGGATATAGCACAATTGACTTCCGGCCGTTCAGCTGAGAAATCAAAATCAAGAATCTCCCTCGATGCCGACAGTGTCCATGTATTTCCTGATATTTTCGTCCCCGGTGCCCTCCCAGGTTGTGCCCTCCATCATACAAGCCTTCCACGACGGAGAGGCGTGCGTTGCCGCGAGAATCTCAGCAATCACGTCGTCGTTGAGCACTAGTCTGCGTACGCCCGACGGTGTGCTGCCTACGCTCTCTGCGGAACGTTGGAACTGCGGCGGTTGCGGTGAAGCGATATTGCTGGTGCTGCTGGATGGCGGAAGATTACGATTGAAAGTACCCGACTCATTGACCACACCGTCCGACAAGATCCAGTCTTGCCATTCAGGGTTATTGGGCAACTCTAGGGCTACAGGGCTGAAGGGGTTGAATCCACGGACGCGCTCTTCGTGAATGATAAACAAGGAAGGGAAGGGCACGTAGCGATCTCTAATGTCCAGCGCAATGGCCTTGCCGTGGAACTGCTGAAGCGAGTCGATTCCAGAGTGATTGACGAACACGAACTTGCGAGACTGCTTCCAGTGAATACTTGCACCTGAGCAAAGATGAATCTGACTTACGTCGGGTAGGAACCGTATAAAGAAACGATATCTATAAAAAAAGCGGTGATGCAGAACACACATGGTCAAGCCATTGCGTGGTTCATGTCCGGGATGCTCTTTGACCTTCTCCGGAATCCATTTGCGGTCCTTGAGTTTGGTCCACTAAGCCAGACATTAACCTGAGGCGGGGATCTTAAACTCTTTCGACTTACAAAATCGTCCTCTTCTTCACCAATGATATAGCAATGGTCGAGAATGTCTGTCTCAATCCTACCGCAGACAATGCAACGCCTCTTTCCCAGAAAGGTGTCTCGTTTATCTATGCCGGTCCGGAATGCGGTGGTGGTCGACAGAACCGACATATTTCGGTCTTCCCAGCCGAACCCAATCGGCACTGTTTGAAGAGGAAAGAAGGAGACCAATTGCACCATGATACATTTCTGGTTAAGAGAAAGACGTAGGACGTGCACAGTAACACTAACAATGGTGCGCTTTTCTTGAGACGTCTGGCCTTGGATTTTGCACGGAGTTCAAAAAATTTCCTTATTTAGGTGGTAATTCAACGGACAGTCCTAAAAATTACTCGTATTTAATTTAGAAACTACAGTCGTAAATATCAGCATATAGATGGAATATAACTAGAACTATATTAAATGCAAGCTAATCTAGCCATTATTCTTGCCCTCCCCCATCCCCCGATAAGGATTTCAAAGAAAGTAAACAGTCAGCTAATCACAATAAATGACTACCCCACTTGATCAGATATCAGTATTTATCAGGGGAGTAGAAAGAATATCATGGCCTGAACATTATACCATATCCCACATTGCATATCTGCATAAGTCGTTCGGCATGTCTGTCATGGGCAAGTATTGCCCTTGATTTAAAAGGTGGTCTAGACTCTAGAGACAAGAAACGACCATAGTACTGAATGCACGCTTTAAGCTTGCCACCCCTAATATTTACCTCATTCAACATCAATAAATGCGTTCTGTGTAATGTATACACTACCCAGAAAGACATAAGAGCGAAAGATTGGATTACTATTCCACTCAAGCCTATAGAATACACGCCATTCCATTGATGCAATCCCTAAGTAGTATTAATAACAACCTTCAACCGTAAATATCAAATGGTTGAGTGCGCTAATTAAGGGTGATTTTACAGATTTACATGCATATTAAGCGAATAATTAAGTGCACTACGTCTCGTTCGCCATCCCGCTTCTTCCAGGCTCCCTAACCATCCTCTCAAACGACTCACGTGCCTACAAGCGATATCATCATTAGTTTAGGTCACCGTCCCTCGTCAAGCCCAGTATGCCAGAGACGTACGTTGATAAAAAATGCTTCATCGTCTAACGCCCTTACGCCAACGAGTGCAAGGCCTTTCGTCACTGTCATTGTAGCATCATGCGCTTCCCGCGTCCGTGCTGCTTTCGTGAACTCAGCAGTGTGGTTCCCGCCATTCGGTACAGTCGGTATAGCTAATATATCACATTCATTAGAAGTCAGTCTCAATTGAATGTGCCCTAGGGAAATTACAGAAGTGAGAAGAACTCACCGAAGGTCGGATGGATAGCGGGAAGAGCTACATGGATATAATCGGGACCAAAGATAGACGGAATTAGAAGACATGTTGCGGCGTAACCTAGCAAGAGAGAATTTTACCGTAAGTGACATTGCCCTGATTTACATTCATTATACCCGGCGCATCCGTGGCAATAAGGGCGAAGAAATCCGTCAGTAACAATTTTAAACAAGGTTCACATAAAAGAAAAGAAGCGCGAAAGAAAAACGGATTAATCGAAGAATCGGCACAGCAAAGGGGAGAAGAAGGACAACAAAGTTTAACATTAACGTTAACGTGTGCGTCGTGTGCGTGTGTCGTGTGCGTGGTGGATCGGCATGAACGTCGAAACATCGGCCATCGGATGTCGATGAAATACATGGATAAAGCGGGGGTCTAGACTTCCCAGATTGCATGTGCTAAATGAAGACCGAAACAAATTTTTGACTTACGAAATCCGTTGATGCGCTAGTATCCTTCGCGGCAGATCGCATGCTGTAACGTTCTCTTACAGTTCCTAGGAATTCTTGCTCTTTATAGAAGAGCTCTGAGTCAGAGACATGTAGACGGAAATTTGGATACGCATACCGAGAACTGAGTTTTGTCGTAAATCATAGTACGCAACACCCTCCGATATTTCGATTCTGCAGTTCGCAGCAAGTGCTGCTGCACTATGAATAAACCGAAATTAATTAAACAAATTCAGAAATGTGGGAAGAGACAAACACGTACTTGATGCAAGCCCGAACACGCACAAGCAGACTACCCAACTCCGCATACGTTGGGGCCCGTACAATCCATTGCATCTTCGCATAATCCGGGATGACTGGAAATTTTATTTCATTCGTTAGCATCAGTAGTAATTAAAAGATCCCGGAAACAGGAATGCTCCCTCTGTAAGAATGAACCAGATCCAACTTACTATTCGCTGCCCAATCCCTGCCTTCAATGATCCCATGCACTCGGCACTCGGGCTTCATTTGTTGTCGCAACAATGCAACGCTGTTATATGCCATGACTGCCGCGTCCAACGCATTTTGTCCTTCCCAAGGAGCAGCGGCTGCATGGGCGCTAAGATGATCAAAAGGAAGGCGTTTAGCTTGATGTGTATCACATATGTACATACCTCAATAAAATAGCTTACGAATGTCCAAAATATTCCACGACCAGGGGTTGGATGGCTAGACTTGACCCTGACGCCACTGAGTTTTTAGGCCCAGGACCAGGATGACACCTATGAATGATCAGCCAAGAAAGACAATTCAGTTCCCGTTTCCTATCTAATCGTGATAAAGTAGCACCTACATCACGCAAATGTCCATATCTTCATATGCGCCCCTCTCAAGAAGCAACACTTTTCCTCCTCCGCCCTCTTCGGCTATATTGACAAATGCCGTTCAGTGATCCCCAGGGTCTCATGATTAACACAAAGAAGTCGAGAGGAGATAAGAGGTGTGATTCGGGCGCCATGTACATACCTGGGGTACCCAACAACACGATTTTACCCGGAATCTCATGTTTCTCCAGAGCCGCCTTGGCACCGAGTGCAACACCGACTCCAGACACGGCTATCAAGTTGTGTCCACATCTAATTAAGGAAGTTATAAAAAGTCAGGTCAAGAAATAATAAAACGTGGTAGAGATTAAGACCGATTGCGCGATTTGATACAAGAGGAAGGATAAACGGTTGCTTTTCACTTACGCATGGCCGAGGCCCGGTAATGCATCCATTTCGGCATTGACGCCGAAGGTGCGCCCACCCTTTCCATATGACCACTCTGCCCTCCAGGCGGATTGGATACCTGAAAGATGGGGTGTTACCTTGAATCCGTGCGAGCGCATGAACTCTGTTAAAGTGTCATGTGCATAGCTGATACTGGAGATCAGACTTGTCTTCCAGCTTGCAGTATATTAACAGTACGAACAACTCTTGAAATGCGGTTTCGGGATGGTCTGGCAGTTCAAAACGGTCTTTTAGCTTGCCGATAAATACCGGGTAAAGAGAAATTCCGCAATCCTACCATGAATCTTGAGACTGAGCTCTCGTAACTCGGTGTCCAACGAGTCAATTTTATCCTCAATCGTACTCATAACTTCCGGTCGATAAATTTGTTGGTCGGAAGGAGCGCCATACGGCGGAGGGCCAAGTTCATCTCCGAAGTCCGGCGCTAAGGTCAAGGCGTCTTTTGATTTCGGATCAGTGGAGAAACAACACGGTATAGCGCAGCTTAGCTGGTTTGAAATACCAAATTTCTCTTGTCAATATTACGAAGATTTACCAGAATAATGTGCCTAAACTTACAGAACGTCCCCGAGTCGGAATCGTTGGGTGTGGCAAAGTAGGAATATTGTCGTGACGAGTGCAATTAGAAGTATCATTGACATTACTTTGCCTAGTAGAAAACAGAGAACGCAGTCCTTGAAAACATCCAGGTGTAGCACGTTCCATGTTGCCCTAGAACACTAGTAATCCACAGTATAGTGACCCGGTAGTGGAAATAGATCCAGAGGCACAAGCTAAGGTGGGGAGGGAATGTCTGTAGCAAGAGGAGATTGGGTCTCCGATATTTATTCAAAGCACCTTCTTCCCCTTTTTGAGAGATTGGGACTTCCCCCCTCGCAGCTCAGCTCCGATTCGAAATGTTCGTTCTCCATGCTGAGCGTGGGAGGGGACAAATCCACCGCGTGTCGGCCCTGAAAAGTAGACGGTGTGGAGGGAGGCGGCACACGGGACATGTGCAAACACAGCTTGAATAACCAAGAGGAAGGTGGTGGCAATATCCTATCCAGGACGTACGCGAACAGAAAAAAGATGGAACTTCGCTCAGTCAGTAAAAAGTAATCTCGAATCTGCATCTGCAGGAACGTGCGGTTCCGACCAGATCGTGGTTTTGGTCAGCTCGACAGCTTCTGTCGCCGCTGGAATTGGGCAAGTCTTCTGTCGCAAGAGAACCGACTAGCCGAACCAGAAGAACCCCATATTCGGGTATGTTGTGCCTTCTTTGCTTCTTGATTCGGACTCCTCGGGTTATGTGGACGGGAGGTTCCGAAATACTGAGTGGCGTAGCTTCAAGGGACAGTGCGAACTTACACCTACACAGCAGAGTTACAGTAAGGTGTACACGGTCATCGCACATATGATACTGTGCTACACATACTTACGCTTACCTATCACTCAATCATCTACATAGCGCTATCTGCTCTTACCCCTACCTGTGTCCATGACAGGTTTCACGGAAGAAAGAGAAGACGAGGAAAAAGGAGTCATAGCTGAAACTGGTTCACGTTTACCGATATACACGGAATTCGATGAATGGATTTATATTCATTCTTACATTAGTATTCGTCCTTATTTTAGTATTTGACACGCCATCCAGTGCATGCGTACGTGCTTCGGAGAACTTGTCATCGTGGCGTGTGTAAGTAGTATTGAAATACAGAACGTTTGCACGTGTTGTTTGTACACGAGCATGTATAGACTGTACAGTGTAAAACCTCAAATAACCCGTTTCGGAAAAATGTGCAGTAACTGCGAGGGTACACAATGCAAACTCAATCTGTCAATTCACTGTAAGCCAAGCCAAAACCATCATGGTCTACATCCATAGTGATCCACTATACAGTCCAACATTGATATACTGATATACTAATATCACACCATCCAATCATTGTAGACGGCGTGAAACGAAAAGAAAAAATCGTAAACATTAAACTCATCCAATAATCAGAGTTAGAACAAGCGATATCCAACAAACGCCACGGAAACACTTAATGCGAGGAACGAGAGACGCGATGCATCTCCACCTCCCCACTGACGCACGCTCAAGGCAGCCGAAGTACGTCTCGGATCCGCGGCGCCGCCAGCCGCACTGCCGGCGGCAGCCTGCGCCGACGCGAAGAACGCCTCCCACGACGCGATGGTGGCAGACGGCGCCACGTACACGGACGTCGCGGTCCCCGATCCGTACAATATTCCCGACACCCCTGGAAGAATGTCACCGACAACTAGTGACGACGCACCCTCGCCTCCGACGACAAATACTCCACCCGACGAGTTCGTAACGAGCCCTGTTGAGTTGTTACCTATGATGAACTCGCGTAAGAGAATGAAGGCCTGTGTCGATTCGCCAATTTGTCGGTGGATGTCAAAAATTGTGTACCCGATGGATGTACGGCGCCGAGAATGACAGAGTACAAAATCGGATGGCGAGTAGTGGACGATGATCATTAAACAATGACGTCAGGTCATTAAAGAAGCGCATAATCAACGGCCGCACGGAGAGGAAAGGCATAAATATATAGACGTACAGCTTCGGGTTGAAATTCGGGCACCTCGTGCCCAGCTTTGTCAACCAGAACGTACGTCCAATTCCGTTCTTGATGCACAATCCCAATGAAGTTACCGGAATCGTCGGTGAACGGCGTCAACGGCTTCCGCGTGAAACCTTGTATGCCACCAAAGGTTGTGTTCTGTTGGTCATAGGCGAACCGCCCATTCAGTCAGCAGAATTTGACACAGGTGAAAGAAGGAACCGAACCTGAATCGTAACTAACAGTAACGTTAATTGTTAGAATGTCTGATTTTAAATGGCATGAATAATCGAGATTTAAAAAAAGATACTGACTTTCGCTGCTAAAGTGGGGTACAACAGTGTCATCATTGCCCAGGTAGATGACCACGGATACACCATGTTCGGACGCATTGGTAGCCAATTCATCAAAGAAAGCAACGGGCCTGTTCAGAGATGGTTAGCTTGTGCATAGTCATTAGGCCGGTCAGAGACAGCTACGCACTCAACACCTGTAGAGATTATAGAGATGAGCATTAGTCAAGAACACTACATACCCATTTCAGAAAGATACGTACTTGGGTCACCAAAGACGTTAGCACCGGGTCCTGACAAAGGCGATTTAAATCAAATCAATATACGAAGAAGCAATGTTAAATGAGGCGTACCGGGCTCAAAGGAGGAGTTAAAAGGATAGTTAATCTGGAGCGTCCAGTTCTTGCTAGTCGGGGCATGCAAGGCCGTACGGGTTCGGTCATCTGCGGAAGACACAATACATTGTAAAGATGAACAAGATCTAAACGACAAATGGAGAACGGCCATACCATTCAAGAAGGTCGATGGGTCAAGCCCGAGTGGCGGTGCACGGGCATCCGGAACGTTGTATGGCTAGTCGATGTTTCCGAAACCGTAAATAAGAGAAATAGGTACTAAGGGATGGAAACTTACGTTGTACGGACCGAAGTCGTCTAAAGTCGGAATAACAATCTCTTTCGACAAATCTATGGTAAACCGGATTTGAGTGGGCACACTCCTACGAGGCATTTCATAAAAAACTCGACTCACTCCAGGGCATTGAAAAGTTCAACGCATAATCTTGAGTTTCTTCAGCCAAGAAGCACCCATAGAACGGGTCGATTGTCCCATTTGCACGTCCTGTCAGGTCCCTCTTCCTCATCAGGTCCCTCTTTTCCTTTATCCAAGCTCGCTTTCGCTCCTCCCTCGCTTCGATCTCTTCAGGCGTTGGTGCAGTCCTGCGTTTCACAAGCCCTGTCTCAGGGCTTTCAACTCCACGAGCGACCGCAAGGAGATTCTTTCGAATAAGCCCCGGCTTGCGACTTGCCAGTTCAGCAGCGCGACCTCCGTCTGCTGGCAGGATTGGAGGTCCGATGGGCGGGAATTTACCCGTCTGAGGGTAAGTGAGGTTCAAGTCCCACCCGCAGAGATGGGTTCTAAGACGCGTAAATAAGGTTAATTGTACGTATGAAGGCAGATACTGACTGTTCTTTGAAGTATTCGTAAACCTCCGAGTCATAGCCAATCAGTTGAGGATAGGTCTCTATGATGGACAACTTATCTCGAGTTAGCCAGGTTGTTCACCAAACGATTACAACCATCTCACCATTGGCAGTTCCTCGTATTCTGGTTCAGCTCCCATAGCTCCGTTGCCTATTGCGATCTTTGACAGTTTTACTGGAGGATTTGGTGTGGAGAATATCGTTTTCGTTATATATGGCTATGTATGTTTCCTCAATAAATCATCCTTTCTTGAATTAGCGCGGCAACAGTCTTACGATGTACGTTCCCGCATAACTTTCACCCGTGAGCAACAATGGACGGGTTGCAAGACTTGGGAATACCTTGACCAAATTCCTTAAGAAGTTGAGCTGAAAAGAAAATGATATTAGATAAGCGAAGTGTAGATTCTTTATACGAAATGAGGGCTCACGAAGTCCTCGCCCATTTGGTCTTCATTCTCAACTGATATAAGGAGCAGGCCAGGCTGAGATCATTGCTAGCTGAATAGGGTTGAGGAAACTCACTGTACCCGCCATTTGCTTCCGCGGTCGAGAATCCAGTACCACTGCAAACATTATATTTTTATCTCAATAAAATCATAATGAAATTGTTTGGTCCAAACTTACACAGGCTGGTCGACCCAAATATAATCCACTAATTTATCCCAGCTCACGTTGTTCGGAGCCAAGTCCCCTGATTCCGTGACAAGAAGCGGACCGTTCTCGAGCAACAAACCGAGCATGCTCGACGCACCAGGCCTGCAAAATTTGTCAAACAAACGGGAGTATTTCTATTTTTAGCACGCCAAGACGAACCCGCCATTCAGCCAAAGAGCGCATGGTTCAGAAGAGTTCTCGTCAGCACTAGCCGTCAGTGAACCGTTTTTGCTCTCAAAGCCCCAGAAGAACAGAGTGTCGTTCGGGTGGTTTGTTCGGTTCACTGGGATGTTACCTGCCCAGTTGCGGCTTAATGGGAACGTCACGTTTGGGAGAGGATCCTTCACGAGGAAGTCTAGCAGAGAGACATGGAATTCAATAACCACCCAAAATGAAATGACACCTTGGCGACTTACAATCTTGCCATTCTGGGCTAAAGTCTCCGCTTGGCTTTCCTGGATAGTCGTGTGGGAATGAATTCGGCACCGAGTCTTGAGAACAGACAGAGCCAGCGAGACTCAATACAGCGAAAGCAACTGAGGCCAGACGAGTGGACGACATGGCGGATCGTAACGACGCTCTGGCGGCGGGGCAGTACTCGAACTATTGTATTTATACAACAACAACAATCATCATAGTTGGGGCGACTATCGGTGACGGCACAGCCCTTTCCGCCGTCCCGCACTCGCGCCGTATGGTCGTGAGATGGAAATAGAATGGATGCATGGCTCCAGCTTCTAAGAACATATGATAACATCACAAGACCGGCTGCGGTCTATGTGCCCACAAGTACCAATTGACGCGCCGAAAGATTTGAAGAAAGATTTTTTGATAATTATTTTGATGCGGCAAAAACGTGGATTGCTGAACCTGACTCGATGCGCGCTTGCCCGACTTCTGAGCCACTATAGTAACATCATCAAATATTTACTGAATGCCGCAGATCACCATGACTCGGGCGCAGTGCGAAAGAACCGCCAAAAGGGAGAAGAGAATATGCAAGTCCCTACCAGAAGCGAAAGGCTATGTGAAGTCACCAGGGTTCTGATAAAGCCAAAACAAGTAATTATCAATTACCACATGGGGCATTTCACAATTCCTTACCTTAAAAAATAACTTACATAATGATAAACATTATTTGAAATTTATCTTCCCATTTCTGACCAGCAAAAATTATAAACAAAATTTAAAACTTTCTTTATACAAAAACTAGAAATTATTGTTAACATTTCTTCATTTGTGAAATCTTGAAATAAATAGAGATAATAATCTAAAACATAATTTCAAAACAAAATTAGAAATTTTCTTTTAAATTTCTTCATTACTAGTACAGAGGAATAACAAAAAATGCAAAAGAAAATTTCTAATTTTGTTTTGAAATTATGTTTTAGATTATTAT